CGGACATAAGGAATAAAAAAACAGTCGTAAAAGATCTTTCCGACGAGTCTCGCAAGAAGATCTACGAAGAGGCCAGAGAAGAAATGCGAAAAAAGCTCGCTTCCTAAGTATCACCTTYGAAAAAGGCGCAGGAGGATTCCAGCTGCATGTATCATCGTCTAGGAATCCATGCTAACAATGGATGTTGGGGGTTAATCTTCTTGAAGATCTTATAAATGAGATCGAAGTAATGGGGAATCTTTCCCTCGATGCAACAGAATAACTCCTCTGCTTGGTGCATATCGTAATAATCAACGCCTGGAATAACCTCACCAGTAATTTGAGATAACAAGTAGGAAATATGGTCATAGTACTTTCYTAACTTCAACTTTTTTAAGGTTGCGCGTAGAGCTCTTACGGTTGGCGCTCTTAAGTCGTCGGCAATCTCTTKCATTACTAAAGGATCTACGTAAGCAGGTTCGCCTAGGACGTACCTCATTTTCTTATGAAAGTACGTTATCCTTTCATATACTGCCTTCTTACGACCTCCGTTTACAAAGTAGTGTTGTTGGGTAACACTAGATACCGCGTTACGTAGATTCTTACCACACTCATAACACTGCATCGATGCGTCTTCCTCTAATTGCATCTTCTTACCACAGCATACRAAAGGTTCTGGCTTTGGTATTACGACGCGGGGCCTCAAACAAGTCACGCAGATCTCATTAACGAAGCACGTGCATTGATGTAGGTCATTCATATACCCATAAGATATCTTACCATCGTTTGAGTTACCTAAAAGAGCAGCAGTAAGGAGGCATTCGCCAAGGCCGCCGTCGGCATTCCGTTCGTTTTAACGCCTGTAATACCCGTGTTATTCGGGGCTTTCGCGGAGGCGGTCGCGAGTCCCCCTTACTGCTGCTGACTGTAAGAAGATCATCAGCCACTGTCACAACGATGGGTACGAAGAAAAAGTCAAGATAAATGACAAAGATTATCTCTTGATAGGGAAATATAACGGGGTTCTTTGTAAAAAAGCGATAAGAAATAAGATTTTCTGTAACGATCCAGACATTGAAGAATGCCCTTTCATCGTGCAGCCAAAGTTGAAGGGCAATTTCTATGGATTTGGCGCCATTTATTTTGCACTGCGCGATGTGGAAATGCTAAAGACGGATGACGATATTGTCACTGTACCGCAAATTAAGAATTCTACCKATACATTCTGCGCTGAACCCGCAGAAGACCTAGATACGAGCAAGTACGAAATCTATGGCCTTTGTTTCCAACTCAATTATATTTACGAGCTCGTAAAGGATGGGTATGGTGCTGGTAATAATTTCACCCTACACGTGGCAAAAGGTTTACACGGTTTTGAACTGAATTGGGTTTTAGGAGCTATGCTGGAAGCGACCAAAGTACTTTAAACTTTTCAAAGAGGGTTTCATGCATGATTCTTCTACCCAAGTACTTCGATACAAGGCATGTTTTCGCGTGTTTTGGTTTCTTCTTATCAAATTTACACAAGGGATGTCTTGAGCTCCATCCCGGGAAGTATTTTTTGATTGACAGAACTTAAACCGAGTAGCCTAGACCAGCCTAAAAAGTTGTTTAAAATGTATAATTGCCTGTCTTAATGGTAAAGATTGACATCAAGCTAAATAATGAAGTAAATAAACGAATGAAATCTAATTTGTCACAAGTTTTTAATCTTAATCGAGGGGAGAAAAATAGATCAGGGCATACTGAACGAAACAAACAAAAGAAAAAACAAAACAAAACACTAAACAAAACAAAACAAAACAAATTACAACAACGGGGAAAAACTAGATATGGGAGAAAAGAGAGAGCATAGAAAGGGAATAGGGAGAAGTGAAAAAAATGGCATAAAAATTAAAGAATGTTTGAGTGTAGTTTGTAGGTTTGCTGGACTGGTGACTTGTGTGAGATGAGCGCAAACACGTAATTGAATATTATTATATTTTAGTCTGCGCGCAATCATTCTATTTTCTTTGGTAAATATTTTTGGTGTTTGCTTTGGCTAATTAAGATGTCTTGGAAGAGATCATTTGATTGAAAAGATATCCTGAGTATTTGAAGAAAAAATGGCGTCGATTGACGGAAAATAAGAGCATTCAATTGGGGCTCCTGTGTTTTTAGTGCCAGTCCCTTTAAGACCTTTACGTCATCACGTCTATCAAACCCATTTCAAACATGGCGTCCAACAAGATTGGGAAATTTCGTTCTCTCTTCATTTTATCTTTTCTTCTTTTATTTATCAATTCTACCGGCAGAAAACACCACCTAACCCTAAAAGTAAGTCTATAAAAGGCATTAGTAGTATTTAATCTCATTTATTTTAAAGAATTATTACAAAATTCATGTCGACAAAACGCGTTATTTTTTCAGGATGAAGCGAGAAAATCCTTTGAGTTGAGCAAATTTGGTTTCCTGAAAAATGGGTTTTTGAAGGTGGAAGTTAGAAAAATTGTGTTCAAGAGTGCTAGGAAGGGCACGGAGGTGGATCAAGCTTTCCTATCTCGTAAAGTAAGTATTTAACCTTTAATATGGTCAGGAACTATACAAAACTTGAAATTTAATATTATTTATAATCAAATTACTGACGCTGCTCAACTGGTTTAGACTTTTTTTTATGAAAATAATGTTATTTTTAGATATTTTTCTATCTTCCTAACTCAACTTTTTTTGCATTTGAAATTCTTATTCATATATTTATTTGTTTGTTTGTTTTCTTTCGCTTTTTGAACTTGAGATTGGATTTAAACGAAAACGTAATTAAGCTTACTATACTTTGTAATTTTACCCTAAATATTACAACGAAACGTGGATTTGATAAAATTCCTTTTTGATATGTATGTAAACGTGTATCCAAAGAACCAGAATATGTTAAGCTAATATTAAAATTGTTAGTAGAGCTGTTTTAGCATTATTTTTCAGGAAACGCTTCAGGGAAATAGGCTGTTTCAGTTTAATTTCATACTTGACTGCATTTGATATTTAGGCCTCTTATTATTTTTGTTTGTTAGCCCCTGCCAATAATTTATGAAATGACTAGACTGAATGTAGTCTAACTTTTGAACAGTCTACGTCACCTAAATTAGATATTAAGTTATTTACTATTTTAAATAACATCAAATATTGAAAATTCATGTGCCAATGGAGTGATAATCAGGGGCAGAGAACAAAAATGCAATCAGCTGTCTCTTCACACATTCTCTGGTAAAGTAAACCCTTGGAATCGCATGACTATTGGTTTGGCATATATATGCGATTAAATAGGTGACATCAACTAATAGTGTGAGTTTTGATGCACTCAAAGATAGATGTATCTTATTAGACATTTTGGGGTGCGTAAGGGTGGATATTTTGACTCTGCAGTATTTTGTCGACCTGTGAGTAGTATTATGTCGACATTAAGGCAAGTTAAATGTCTACCCATGAATCCATGAATAGTTTTCGAAGTCAGATAGATTTATCTAGAACCATAAAACTATTAGACATTTTAGGGTGCAGTAAGGGTGAATATTTTAAGTCTGAAGTGAGCAAAGAGGCAAAAATAATACAAAGACAAGTACATGTTATATGTCCATCAATATTGTACTCTATACACTGAATTGAAATACGGCATCTAATTTGAAAATAAACTATTGTTCTGGGCTAAGAAAGTTTTAGTATAGTTGGATTGCTCAGGCTGGGTATAAAAATGACGAATCTTGAATTCAATTTTTTTTAATATAGAAAAAAAACCTGATGTTTTGCACCTTATTGTTGGGAAAATTAAAGACAGGGGTAGAAAATAATATTGTAGATTTTGCTAAACCCTTGATAAAATAAGAGATTTAATGCTTACAGACTGCTAGCACAGGTAGTTGATCCTTTCAATAGATTTTTCAATATCAGCTTGAATTATAATAGAAAAAAGTTTGTAATTAAAGAATGAAGGTGTGTAGTCCCAGAAATTATCCTTCCCCTCCCCTCCCCCCACAGGGGAATTAGGAGTTTCCCAGGGGTGGTGGGGGGTTAAGAGAAAAAAACAAAATTACAGAGTTTGTATGGAAGAACATTGGAATTTTCATGGTAGCTGGGGGCTCCTTAAAAGAAATTCCTCTGTTTGGGTCTATGCATAATTTCTGGAACTACTCAACATGGATATGAATTTAAGACCTAATTATACAGCTTCTCATTAATCCCWTATAGGTAACTGTCCAATTATTTTCTTAATTGGACAGGTCTTGTTGATATGGGATTAATTAGGCTGCTATATAATTAATAGGTAATGGGATTTCATGCTCCCTAATCAAGAAATAATTAGACTCGAAAAATTTCTCTGACTGTCAAATTTTGTCAGTCCTCGGAATTTTCCCCATCAAATTATTTCTTAATTGGACAGCATGGAGTCCTATTACATATACTAATATAAAAAAAAAACCAAATTTAAATAGTATAAAAAATATGTTATTTAAATTTACATTTTGAAATCATTATTGTCAGTATTAAATTAAATTCTTGTTTTTTATATTAAATAAATTTTAAAAAGTCCTCTTTCATTCATTTATTATTTTAGTTTGGGTTTTCACTTGAAAAAACTGCCAGTGATGGGATCTCACCTTACATGGTAAGTAGATCAATGGACTATATCCACATCTGTTCTGTGTAATTTTAATTAGCTAAAATACCCATAAAAAGGAGCGCTGATAGTAAGAGGGGGTAGAGGGCGCACCTTTGAGCACATTAAACATGAGCCCTTGGCTCGGGAGATTTGGGCAACCACTCCCCGCGTTATTGAAGTATAATAAATTGCCTTTACCTTTACCGTTGGGTGTAACGTTTCCCATTTTAAACCACTTGTCATTTCCTGGAGTATCATTTCTTTGTTTAACATTTGCACATGAGAAGACACATAAATATGGATACAACTCAAACAAAGTATCCTATTCTCCAGAGAATGACACATGGTCTGCAATGGGAAAACATATACACCCTTTCATCAGCTTTATGCTGATCAAACATAGCACTGGATCAAAAAATAGTGTTTGCAGTTAATCAGTAATGTCATATTGTTGGTTTTAAAGGAACAGCATGCTGGAGAGTGCATTCTTAAGGATCAGACTAATCTGCAGAACCGCATGTCTGTTGCTGTTTTCATCTTTGATTTGAAAAAGAAGAGGTATAGTATAGTACAGACTCATGATGTCTAAGTGCACGTTGCTTTCCATAGATGTGTTATACCATTAAGAACCTGCACACTATGCCGGATAAATTTGAATCCAAATTTTTATTTATTCAGTTAGGCCTACCGTCCACACTAGTAGTCCTGGCAAATCCAGAACGACTCTTCACTGAAAACAAATTTTTTCGAATAAGGTCTCCAGAGTGGAACAATTTGAAAATGCCAGCTAACTGTATTGGTGTGGATGGAGATCATTTTGTATCTGAAGTTTTTTGAATATGATGATGTCATGATTGTCATGGGAACATGGCGGGAAGGCCAAAAATTCACCGCAGGCTCAATTTCAGCTTCGATGCACATGCTCAGATGTGCAATGAAGCGTTTTTGCTGCCTCTGGAACATTTTATCTGTTTTCATGTGTGGATGGAAAACTTTTTTTTCTGGTTTCGGTGTGAAAGTTGTGGATTCAGATTTATCCAGCATAGTGTGGACGGGGCCTTAGATGTTTTACTCAGGCAGTGGTGCTGTGATACCGAGACACAAGCCACCCAAAGATAAGGATATCCATTTATTGGTTGCAGTAATTACTAAATTTTTGACCAAAGGGTTGGTGCCACACCCATAATTGAGACACCCACAGAAGGACACCCAATAGATGAGTTGACTAATGGTCACACCCAAACTTTACAAATCTTTGAATTGTTTTATCCAATGAGTAGTTGCACCCATTTATGAGCCATTTGAAGAATTATGCAACATAGCCAAGGTGAATGTTACAGCAATACATGAACCATGATTAAATTGTGCTACACAATTAGGAATCCCCCCTTTTATCAGCCACCCAAAGAGACACGAGTATCTTATTACAACACTCATAATAAATCATTATTATAGACAACTTTCATCCAATTTTTGAAATAATTATACTTAGGACAGAAATCTTGTAAAAATCATTAAAGTTCTAACACTCAAATATACAATATATCTTGCGTTTAGCATAATTGTTCAAAGATTTGGTCCTGATTTCAACAAATTGGAGATCGGGTTTATGCCTCCAGAAGAACCCACTACAACAAACGAAAAAAATGGAAATGATGAAAGTGCAAAAGAAAAGACACATAACGAGAAAGAAACAGAAGAGGGAAATGAAACAAAGGAAAAGAAAATAAACAAAAATGGAACGGAAGTGATAGCAACATCAACACCAACGACAGGTTTGAAATCTACGAGCAAATCATCAGCCTCGACTCCATTAACGCAAGCTGCTAATTTAACTCCTGCCAAAAAAGAGAATGATGCACAGAGTAGAATCAGACGTGATGAAAAGTCAAAGAAACTTGAATTCAATACTACTTATTTACCACTTTCCTCAAGAACTATGAACGAGACGATTGAATACTCTGGCAATGTGAGTATATGATTGGATGCCTTTATTCCATTTGAATTTGATTTACTTTTTGCACTGTATAGATTATACTGTTTCAGAAAATGCTTGTAAACACAGGGTTTTCAGTATTAAGTTTTGAACTGTTGGAGACAAATTACTATAAGCTATATAGACCTTTTTAGCTTCGTATGCAAAATTGCCCATTTCAGATCACATGACATTCCCTTGAGAACTGTTCTTTTATGACAAACATGTTAAAATATTTACACATGAAAGAATTGACTCCCAAGAGTGGTACCACATGGGATGAAATGTGCAACAACAAACAACAAAGCTAGAAAAGGTCTACTCATGGTAGATTAAGCTTGGGCATTTTGTTCAGTTACAGGAACATTCTCTAATCCCCCGGCCAACCATTAATGAAAACCCTAAATCATCCCCCTCCTCCCCTCCCATGAAGGGGGATTTGAATCCTTATGGAATATGTTAACAAAATATTCCTTCAATGTGTGTGTTTTTAATTTGTTTTATTATAGTTTACTGTGACAGTAAAAGACAAGAATGAAGAAGGGTTATATAACCTTTACTTTCATAACTGTGCAAATTATGGGGAGAAGACCGAGGTCATGGTTGACATTCAGGTTAATACCATGTCATTGGTGCATTCCATTCCATCCATCCCAATCTATCCTTAAATCCGTCTCTCTTTCTATTTCATGTCTCCATCCTATCCCATTTTGTATCCATCTCTGTGTATCAATTTTCTGTGGATGTGATTAATACCATGCAGGGCTCGAAATAGCGGCCAGCCAATGGCCAAACGACAGGACAAATTTCAGGTTTGGCACGAGAAAATAAGGATGCACTGCCAAATGAATAATGAAATGGCATGCACAATTTACTGGAATTACCTCCTTTTACCGTGCTCCTTTACTATGGCAGGCTAATAAAAATTCCTATTTCGAGCCCTGCCATGTCATTGGTGCATCCCATTCCATCCATCCCAATCTATCCATCAATCCATCCATTTTTCTATTCCATGTATCCATCCCATTACTTTATTTTATTCATTTCACTATCCATGCATTTATTCATTTAATTACATGTTTCTTTGAATCAAAGACAGTCATTATTGCTCTCATTTTGTGTTTTGACATTATTTTTTCAAAATTCATCATGGCTAAAAGTCAATTTTATGCTCTGTTTATCATTGTAGGTCAAGATAGTAGAAAAGAACGCCAAGAATTACTTATCAGCTGGAGAGGTAAGAAAACCCAAATATTATATCAAATAGACCAATCCTGGCGATTCTTGAATGTCCACTCAAACAATGGGTAGTTTTCTCAATGGAATACAGAATGTCTGACCAACGTTTAACTCAAATTCATAACATTTTTTATTAGTAGTATGTTTTAAATCTCAAGAGAAGAAAACTTAATTAGGGAATTAGTGCAAGGGGTGTTTATTCATATTGTATATATTTCATATTACAAACACGCTCATAAATAGCTGCTTAATGTATATTTCAGGAGCCTCTTCCACACCTCTTCTCTGTCATGGCAGCAGTTTTCTTCTTGACAGCATGTTTTTGGATATATGTTCTTCGACAAAACAGGTAATTCCCAGTAAAATGGAATGTCTTAATCATTGGTATACCATGAAATTTCTGTGAGGGTTCCTATGCTATATCTCTATAATCCCCTCCCCACTTTAAGTGCCCTGCCCGAGTTGCCCCCCTCCCCTCCCAAATAAACATAAGAATTAGACAAATTTAAACAGCTGGTCACACCTAACTCACAGATCAAATTGGAGTTGGAAAATGAGGAAATCTATTGCATTTACTTAACCCTTTCACTACTAGAGACTGAAAGGGCCCAACACAGGCTCTTCCTGGAACATAATTTGGGTTTTTTTTTATTTCACTATATCAAAATGAAAAATATGCTCAGTAGATATTGAGGCCTTATAACACACATCAAAGCAGTTGATAGGATCTGATTGGTTAATGATCCAAAAAAAAAAAAAACGAGTTTCAACGTTTTGTTTCAAAACACAGAAATGTCCTAGGGAACTGGTAATTGAAAAGTAAAAATGTCTTTTCCCTGGCCGCTTTTGGCCATTCTAGGAAAAATGTCACATTTCCAGTAGGCCGCTTTTGCCCGCTGCTGTAGTAGTGAAATGGTTAATCTTCACCTAACCCTCCCTTAATATTTTAGTGATAAACCTCTTATTGTCTCTTTTCTACTATCCTAATAGAGAAAACACGTTCAAAGTTCATTACATGATGTTTGTCTTGATTATGCTCAAGGCTATGGATTTAGCATTTGAGTCGGTAAGAAGCTGCATTATAATGCACCAATGGATCAGGGAAACATTTAGGTGGCTCGGATGACCACATGAAATAACTGTCCAGTCTAGCTAAGAGACATTAAAATAGAGGGCCATGAGTTTGCATGTGGGTGAGGCCAGCAACCCTACCACACCCTATACATTATCAGGGGTGGCGGAAGCTGAAAATCTTTAGGAGAGGGGGCACTGCAAAAAATCACAACAACTTAATAACAATAATAAAAATTGAATCTATGCATTTATATTTCATGTGAACCAAAATTTTTTTGGGGGGGGCCCAAAATATTTTGCAGGGGGCCACATGTCCCCCTGGTCGGCCCCCCGCTTCCACCAATCCTGACTATTGCTACAGAAACTGATGATAGGGATTGCACGATGATAGGGATAGCATGTGAGATAAGAAACTAACCTATGTGTTTTTCTTTCAGATAAACTACTACTATATTAGTAGTGATGGGATCCCTAAAGGGTCTTGGGCTGTAGTTTACTATATCACTCATCTGTAAGTACTGTCAACTATTACAGAAGATTGCATTATAACTGCATGTAAAAAAAACACCTAGATCACTATATTAGTAGTGATGGGATCCCTAAAGGATCTTAGGCAGTAGTTTACTATATCACACATCTGTAAGTACTGTCAACTATATTACAGAAGATTTCATTATAACTGCGTGTAAAAAAACACATACATCACTATATTAGGTCAACTTGAGGTCTATTTGGCCGTTCATGATGACCAGCAACTGAACAGCCATTATTAACTCTATATATGCCTAATATGCCTATATTAATTATTTTTCTATTCGACCTGTCCTCTCCTACAGGCTTAAAGGTGCATTACTGTTCACTACCATCGTCTTAATAGGCACTGGTTACTTCTTTGTAAAACATGTATTATCTGACCGAGACAAGAAGATCTTTATCATAGTCATCCCCCTACAGGTGTGTGTTGGTTAAAAATCATTATAGAATAACTGTGTTCTGGTTGGTTGGGAGTGCATGCTTTATGAGAGCATGCACATGCACTTTCAGTTTCGTCATAAATAATGGGGTTCTCATATAGCGCATTATCACATTGTCTCAATGCGCTTTACATTGCAGTGGAGGATTTTACAGGCTGCATATTAAGGCCCTATTAGCAGCCGAGCAGCTTACAATCATGAGTGATTTATTAGTACGTTAGTGTTATGCCTCCAAATTGGGATAGGCTCTTGAACTGGGAGACAATCATTCTTGTATTTGTATTTTGTAAAAGAAATAAAAAACTTGCTTGCTGTGTTGTGTGGAAGTATACAGCACTTGGGGATTGGCAGAACACTCGAAAAGTGTCGAGAAGCACTCTGCTATGAGTCATGCTTCTCCCAACACTGCCCTCATGTTCTGACAATCCCTGCACGCTTCATAACTGCAGGCAGCACGCCTGCATGTTTTCTATTTCTTCATGATTGACAAAATAATGTTACCAGTAGGGGCAGATCCAGGGATGGTACGGAAGATCGCATGATCTCTCCACTTATATGATGAACTAATTTATGAGCTATGAAAGTGTTATAGGAATCATTTGTTATTTGTCTCTAGCTGAAAGGAAATCAAAAAAAAATCAGGTCATGTACTCTACAAATATATTTAGTTGATGGAAGTCTATTATGATTAACCTCTTGTGAAATTTGTCTTGATCAGGTCATTTTTATTTTTCTATTTTGGACAGATTCTTGCAAATTCAGCCCAGATTGTCATGGATACTACTGAAGAAGCTAGAGTACAATATGCAACATGGATATCCTTTTGATATAATTATATATTTTTGTTTATTACCTAGAAGTACATGAATGTGAGTGTCCATTTGGATTTACTAGCTTAGTTGGGAAAGCACAGGTTTGTTAGGTAGTAGGTCTGTTAGTCATAGTTAAGCCTTGTTCACACTAACGTTGTAAGCATTGTAATCGTAATCATAGTCACCATCGTTATCTTAAGAGGGTTACGCTCTAGTGATGGAAGCAGAATTGTCTCGCTTCCTTGTTATTTTCCCTCCAGCTTCGAAATTCTTTGAAAAGCTTTGACCTTTTTACTTTGAAAGTTATCACATTCGACATTCCAATGATTATATTATATACTCTTTTTACATATAGTCTTCAGTTTATTTAATATATATAATGTCATGAGTGCTATTATTGTCCTTGACATTTCTTACAAGGAATTATTTATCCTGGTTGACTTGATGTGTTGTGGAGCCATTCTCTTTCCTGTTGTGTGGTCAATAAGACATTTACAAGAAGCTTCTAAAACAGATGGCAAGGGTATTTGTTATTTTTTTTCAACTTTTAAATAGAGTGGCTGTCACTACAGAGGGTAATTAGGCTAACGACAGCAACATGCATCAATGGCAATGATTTAGTAGCAACAACAAGCAATGACCTTGACAGCATCAGCAATAGCAACAACAACAACAATGACCTTGACAGCATCAGCAATAGCACCAACAACATCGTCAACAATAACATTGACAGCACCAGCAATAGCAACAATGACAACAGCAACAATGACCTTGACAGCATCAGCAATAGCAACAACAACGTCAACAAATATGACACTGACATTGACATTGACAGAATAAGAAGTAGCAACAACAACAACGACAGCAAAATCGAACTACAACAGCTCCACCAGCTAGCATTACCAAGAACAACATCAAAAGCAGCCGCTGCAACAACTACGACAACAGCATTAGTTATGATTTGAGAATAAGAAGGCCAATTCAAATATTAACATATTTTTAAAATTCATTTTTTTTCTCTTTCTCTCTTTTCAGCTGCTATTAACTTGGCAAAACTTAAACTATTTAGACATTTTTATGTGATGGTAAGCTGATCCTCACCAAGATAATTATTAATTATCATTAATCAAATTATTTTCCAAGTTGAAAATAAATTAAATTCACAGTGATAGATGTGCGTTGATATAAAAATGTAAGGTTTAAGTACTAATTTCCCATTTTCCATTTCCCATTTTTTCAGATTGTTTGCTATATTTATTTCACAAGGATTATTGTCTACTTGATTAAGGTATGTATATCCTACTGTATGCACCATGACAGGGCAGAAAAACGGTGAGCCCGCTACTTTCATGATTAATACCCCAATGTTTTAAGCGTTTCACTGCTGCTCGAAACTTGTGAGGAAATTTTTTCGAATTAGAGTAAATCTACTTATTAGCATTCCGGAAAATGTCAGTTTTTCTGCTGATCAAAGTATCACCTCTCCCAAGGTATACGGCTTTGTATCTCAAATATACATTCAATAAATTTTGGTTGCATTTGATATTTTGCTATTTGGCTCCAAAAAAATGTGTTTACAAAATATTGAGCTGAAATATGTAAAGCTGTCCTTATGGCAAAAGGCCAAAAACCGTTTTTCTGCCCTGTTATGTGCCATCGGTTTGTTTCCCTGTTTTTCTTGCTTCAATATTCATATGCTTTCGGTTCGACCCCATTGAGCTGCGGCACTGCTGTACTTGCGGTGGTGATTGGTGATGACAAGTTTTTTTTAATACCCTGGAAACTGGCAAATTAGTATATTACATTTGTCAAATTACCACTACTTTTGTTTCTTGAAAGTATTAATTCTAATTTCGTAATTACAGGGTAGCTTGTAATTTCTTCATTTCATTTTAATAATTAATAATCTATGAATTTTAGATAACTGTTCCATTCCAGTACATGTGGTTTGATGAGGTAAGGAAGATGGCTTTGTTTTATTAATAGTCCCTTTCACAGTTCCCTGCACCATCTTGAAAGGTAGCTGTGCCTTTGCATTGAAGCGAGATGAACAGTGAGCTTGTAATGATAGAGACCTTTTTTTAACACCTTGGATAATTATTCACAAGTCTCTATCATTGCAAGCTCACCATTCGTCTCGCTTTGATGCAAAGGCACGGCTGCCTTTCAAGATGGCGCAGGGAACTGTGAAGGGGACTATTTAACTTACTAAAAAATGTGTAGTTCCAGAAATTATCCATATCCCCCCCCCCCCACAAAGGAATTTGAAATTTCTGAGGGGTAGAGGGGTTAGAGAAAGAGCAAAATTACAGAATTTGTATGGTAGAAAATTTGAATTTCTGGTGGTAGGGTCTTTAAAAACTTCCTTTCTGGGGAGAGTATGGTTAATTTCTGGGACTGCACAATAAACCATCTTTGTTTTATTATGATCTTTTATTTTTTATTTTTGGTGTGTATTCTATATTGTATGCCTTCAGTTATTCATTGTGTATATTTTATCTTTTACTTCAGTTATTCAAAAATGCAGCAACGTACATATTCTTTGTACTCACTGGGTAAGTGTGTGTTGCTTCATCCCTTTCAATTTAGTAAATAGAGTTGTCTCTAGCTTGCATTTTGGATTTTGGATTGAAAATGACAGACGATAGACCTCCTCGGCTTGGGCTTACCTGATTTAATGTTTAATTACTTAATGTTTACCCATTTCAGACCACTTGTCATTCCCTTGAGAATAAGGATCTTTGTTTGAGTTGTATCAATATTTATGTGTCTTCTCATGTGCAACCCAGCTCAAGCATTAAACAAATAAATTATACTCTAGGGAATGGCACGTGGTCTGAAATGGGAAACATTATGCCTGAGCCGGTAGCCCTGAGCCGAGGTGGTCTATTTAGTCTGGACTTGGAACTCAGACCAGTGTAGCTTTAAGAAAATGTTACAGTACACACATTTCTAATCTAGCACCTGGCATGTTCATTCATTAGTTTGTTCATTTGTTCATTTGATATTTCTTTGTTAATCAATTAATAATTATAATTAATTAATTAATTAATAATGATATCTCTATACCACAGGTACAACTTTAGGCCATTCCCTGATAATCCATATCTGCATGTCGCCCAGGAAGATTCAGATGATGAAATAGAAATGGATGAAGTGTAAGTATTTACCAGATACTTTAATGTAGTAATGTACCACTAAAAATATGTTATTGTGTGATTGTCTAGTTCTGAGCATCCATGAAATGCTGATCATCTCGAAAACAAGCTCAGGACACCCCATTTTTCTTTTCATATTTGGAATCAGCATCAAATTTCACTTTAAAAAATACATGTAATTAAAAAAATTTTTTTTAACCAAATGTAGCCAGTCACCTTAATTCCCCCCCCTCCCCCCCAGGTTTTATTTTCACCTTTCACTTTTCTATGAATTGGGATCCCTGTGAAGGAGCCAAATTAATTGCGAAAAATTTTTCCGCAGGGTTACCACCAATGGTCTGCTGGATGGTGTAACAAGAGTACAGCCTGTAATGAAACAGCGAGACACCTCTGAATCAAAAACGTTTTCAGTATGAAAAGAAAATATAATTTATGAGACAGGAATCCTGAAAATGTAAATGAAAAATGTATGAACTCCAGAATAGTATGAAATCATCCTGTGATAATTTTAAGGACCATTCATTTTTTACCGGGGAGGGGGTGGTGAAATTTATCAGGGGGAGGGATTTATTAATAATATTAAGATCCACAGGAAAATTTAAGTCGCAATCCACTTTTACAAACAAAAATAGGATGGAAAACAGCAATAAGAGGGGGTCAGATTTCATAAATGGGTTACCAAGCAAATCCAACCACCCTCCCCTCCCTGCTTAAAAATGAATGGTCACTCATACTTATCATGAACACATATAGGTTGTGCAGAGACTAGTATAAAGTTGTACTATTCTGTTCTACTACCAGTCTTGCATAAATGACCACTGGGTAGCCATTATTTCTACCCTGTATACCAATATTTAATGTCCCCTCCCCCCTTGGGACATTTCCTTAATTCCCCAGAGGAAGTGGGATTGCTGAGCATAGGCTATTATGCATTCAGAATCGTTTTTGAGTTATTTTATTTAAATGTTTGATTCTGTAGACAGCATTCAGAGTTATATTGGATGCGAGGCTTAGTACCAGAGAAATGACAGTAAAACAAATGGCAAAAATTCCATTGAGAAAGATTATCATTTCTTTCTATTTTCTTTGCTTCGAAACTAGGAGTCTATTGAAAGTTAAAAGAGAATAAGTCAGAGTCACTAGTAAGTGAGAAAAAAGGCTTTGTACCTATATCACATGACAGCCATGTTTATTCTCATGAGAAGAAAAACCTTTGATTAAAACATAGCAATGTGTTCTAAAGCACATGAATAAGACTCAGGCTACACGTGGTGAAATCTATTGTTACATTGCTGCCGAGTGAAAAAGGCGCATGGGTCTTCAGGCCAAACGTAACAGCCACAATTAAATAGACAATGTCTTGCCAAAATTATTGTAACTTTTTGTTAGCAGAAGCCAAAATCTAGTTAAAGAAGCCAAAATCTAGTTAAAGAGATTACAGGAACATGAAAAAATATAAAAAGTTAAATTGACCCTATTTCATAATGATGTCGCTAGCTATAAGAAGATATTTTACAAATAAAAACAAAAAACAATTAGAAGATAAGAATGAAACTAAAACACTACTAGAGTGAAGGCATTTAACCCGTGAAGTAAAAATTATTAGTCAACGTGTAATAGTCAAATAGACACTCTATCATTGCAAGCTCATCGTTTGTCTCGCTTTGATGCAAAGGCATGGCTACCATTCAAGATGGTGCAGGGAACTGTGAAAGGGACTATTAAGGTCTACTAAAGTGTGTTAGTCTAATATCTATTTCACGGGTTTAATGACTTCACTCTTAACTCTTAACTAAACTATTTTAAACAATAGATTGTTTATAATGGATGTCATTATGAAGGAAGTTGGTCATAGATAGTAGTTTCCAATATTACAAGAGCTCAGTTATTAAGGTGTTTTTGTCGCTTGGAAAGTTATCAAAGATATGAATTGTGTTCCTTGGAAAAAAGTTTTGAGAACAAAATTTCTTTGATAAAACACAATTCAAAGTTAAATCTTTAATGCAGTAGTCGTGAACTGTCTGCAGAAAGCTGGTTTTTCATTGCCATCAATTAAAATACTCAGTTGATACTTTTTCCATTTTTGATTGGCACCAGCAGACTAAATTCAATCAAAAGGCAGCTTGCAGCTATCAAGTCCATGTAATATTGAAAACGACTGTAAAAATTATTGGTAATTGTATATTTAATAATATTTCCATTTTAAATGATAAAAATCTTTTCTGTAAGTATCCAATTATATTATTTGTTAACCATCAATTTGTTATAGATGTAACAGTATATTATGTATTTTGATAAACCAGTGATAGATCCAGGAATCTGGATCTGCCTTATAAGTAATAATTGTTAGTTGTTATCAATTCCCCATGAAAGAGCTAAACTGTAATTTTAGTTGCTTGGCTAGTCTTCTAGAGGGTAATCATGTACTTCATGAACAGCTAACATTTGTTGGTTGACACATTGATCATAAAAGGACTGGATTGGAAATGCCATGGGGTCAATAATAAAATGGATTTTCTACCAATCAGTGAGCTCGAAATAGCCCATATGACCCAAAGTTTCCAATCCAGTAATTATTTTATGTTCCATGGTCAACATTATCATTTAACAGAAAATTTAAGAGTGTTTCTGTTAGAGCTACTTGAAAGAATCTGTAGTTTTGTATTAGGAAAAGATTGTTCTAACAGAAGAATGAGGTATAAAATAATTAAACCTATTTGATTGATTAATATGTGGACATGATTGATTGATGTTTTGGTTGGCCAGAGGTTGGGAAGGTGACTTGGCTTACTTCAAACAAAAAATGAATGGATGGAGGATTCGATGGATGAATGAAAGGAAGTGAATAGAATATTGGAATGAGACAAATAAATGAATTAGTTAATACTCCAGTTTTGGGTTCTCTTTTGCTCAGCCTTAGTCTTGGTTGTGTGTTATAATATTCAGCTATTCAACCAAAACTCATTGCATTTTAATCAACTCATATTGTTCCGYMGTGCGTACATTGCTTACTATACAATGGACCTTAATAAGAGAAAAGAACACATTTGTACACAATCGAGGCTAAGACTGAGCAAAGGCGAACTCGAAATGGGAGCATGATGTCACAGGTATTAAATTGCAGCATCCTATTAATCAAGCAGTATAAGACAACCATGATTGTTGTTTGAGGGTCCTGAAGGGGTAAAATTGGAGATGGGATTCACCTTTTTTGGGCTGCAAAATGGGATTTTATGCACTAATGGATTAAAAAAGAGAGAGATGGATTTGAGCAAAACATAGGCTGGGACTATGGGATTTAGTTAAAATGGGGGCTGGAAAATGGATTACGACCCACTTCCGTGACCCTCTTATTTATGATTGTTTTCAATGTCATGATTGCGTGGAATAAATGAACAAATACAGAACTGCCACCAAGTGTTTTGATTCGAGAGGTCTTGGAAAATATTCTCATACTAAGTGGGCTACCTTTGTATTTTTAGTCAACCGCTGATATTCAGAACAGTGGTCGCATACCAACATGGCGGACGACGTGACATTTTGAAATGCTCTCCAAAAACAAAGGATTTTTACGCCAATTTTAGCGCCTCTGCACGTCATTTCTTTGTGTTTTAAGCTATAATGTTCTGCCAGGAGTATATTCTCTTTATTTCGTACACTTTTATTACTATTGTGCCAGGCAAAGGTAAGGATTTCTTTTCAAAAAGGATTTCGTGTTCAACATGTACTAAAAGTGCCAAAATTAAAATGCTTCGTTTTATTCCTTTATTTTTCAAGAACATGGACCATATACTTTCAAATATTTATCTAAAAAGCGATATATGTGTTTGAAAAATACCACTTTAAGAGATAAAATGTTTAAATTTAAGTTATGCCTTTGTTAATTGGCATCCATTTATGAATGAATGAATCAGATGAATACATTAAGGCATGTGTCCACGTATAATAACCTATAATGAAAAGATTAATGTTCCCCGTAATCCCCTTAGAATATATTGATGATATATTTTCGTCTTTTTTACTAAGCCTTATTAAATGAAAATTAATTTTACGATCAGTTTTTTTCTGTGAACAAGTTTGTTTAAAAATAAATATATTAATAACAGGTGTATATAGGAAAAGTTAATAAATTTAAAGGCAATAAGCTCATAAGCTTAGAATATTTACTTACTCTAGTAACATAAAATACAAATATCTCTTACATAATTAATTATATCTTTTAGCTCAAGTAAGAGAGTTTCACTATCTTCCAAGCATAATTTTTATTTTCTGAAAATTTAATTTTTTCTATTGAAATCGTAGATTTGAAGAAATTGCATTTAGTATGTAATGTTTAATAAACGAGCAGAAGTGTTTTATCGGGTATGAAACACGAGGCGTAGCCAAGTGGTTTTAGACCCGATAAAACACGATCTGCTCGTTTATTAAACGGCTTAAAAGATTCATGATGTATGTTCTCATATTGTACAGAATTCTTTACGAAATGAACCAAGTTTGATAGAAAAAATCCAAGTTAAAGTTTATGCAAATGAAGACGAATCTATATCAGATATAAAACTTCCTTCACGGTCATGATTTCTATTGTGTTTACTTCATGAATTATTAATGAGATTTTAATCTGAAATAGTTATATATTCAAAACTACAAATTCAATAGGAAAATTATTGCAGAAATTAAAAATTATACAGAGAGATAGTGAGACTTTTTTACTAAAAGATACTGTATAATATTTTTATTTTATTTTAAGCTTTGAGTAAAAATATTAGTTTTTATTTTTACATTTAGTATATTTTATATAAAAACTACTTCACCTGTTATCCCTTGAATTCCTTAGAAACTATTACGTAATATGGAAACAGAGTACTTATGCACCATACTGTGAATATTACCACAAGTTTTTGATTTCTCTTTGAAATCTTTATTATTATTATTACTATTATTATTATTATTATTATTTGTTTATTTTTAATAACAATCATAATCTCTTTGAAATCATTTAGACAACTTTTTAACAACTTTTGATTTTGCTTTTTACCACTAACCAATTGACCTATAACATTATGACATCACAACTTGTTTACATGGACAAGAATGATAGGAATTTAGGCGAAAGTTTCTTTCGTTCCGGATATTTAGTACAACATTTATCTGTTATCACCTTTCCCCATCTAATTAACCATTTTTTATTGTGATTTAATTCGTTTTGCTGCTATTTTGCCCCCTCTGGCGACCATGATCCTTAGCGTTAAAACAATAGATTGTTTTGATGTGACGTCATAGTGTTATAGGGCAATTCAACATCAGCGCTTCACTTTGATGTTCCAATAGGCCATGTTTGTACATTGATATGGTAATATGGAAACATCAAAGTGAAGTGAAGTGTAAATGAATGAATGAATAAATAAATAAGCGCCAATACCTAATTGATTAGCAATATAATTTTTTTTCACCACTCTACACAATATTCTGAAATAGCTTACTATCAATCATGTGACTTTTTGGAGTTGACTGGGGGGCTATTAATATACAGTCAAAACATGCCACAATAGTTCTCAAAGTACACGTATTGTATCTGACTATTTCTACTGCCTGACACTAGAAATCAAGAAATGTATACTACCTCTAATACCTTACAAGCTTCTGAATGTTAATTGAACCCCCAGTCAAAACATAAATATTACCTGAAGTGACATCTATTGATAGTTTACCTGTATTTGGAAAAATGTTATCAGAATATAACTTGTTCTCTTTCCTTCAGTGCTTTAAACCTGTAATGGGATCAGAGTGTAGTGTGTACAAGGACTACGAGCTTGAAGAACCATTAGACACGTCCAATTCAGACTGGATATTATACCCTGCGCACAGTAAAGCTACTAACACTCCTGTTAAGAGGGTGACTATATTTGTGCATGAGAAGAACAAGAATGAAAGAAAAAAGGGTAAAAGTGGATTGACAAATTCTTCACAGGTAATACATTTATCTTACTAGCCATTATCAGAGCTTTCAATAAAAGGCAGCTACTGGAGGTTCATTGCTGGATACTTCGCCTTAAACTGCATGCTATTTTGACAAAAAATTAATTCATTGCCAAATTAAGCTATATACAAACACCAGTGGCTTCAGCCCCCTACTTTTTAGGAATAACCGCCTACTACAAATTATATCACTGAAAGCTCTGCGTCATACAGGGCTTAAAATAACAGTTGGTTAGTCGCTGGTCATGACGAGCAGCCAAATTAGTTTTTGCTTGGTCATACCTCATTTCTAGCTCAATGTTACTGGTCAAAATAACCGGCAAGGCAAAGATTTGAACAGAGAAGTTTCAAAATTCTGGTCAGACACTGTTTATTGTCTGGCTAATATTTTAAGCCCTGTTATATTATCATCATTCATTCTCACAGTGCCTTGAGCCGAGTTCATAAAACTGTACATCCCTAGCCACTTTTAATTTAAAATCCAAATATTATTGTCCAAAAATGCATGAACACTTTTATCATGAAATGAGAGATATGTACAAAAGTGCAGTTGGGCAAATTCACTGAAAATTGTTCTAAAACCCATATTAATCCACGAAGAGAAGTAGAATAGCCAGCAAAGGCTCAGAATATTTTTTAGTACATATTAACACTTATTATATCTGAAAACCAGGCCATTTTAGATTAAACTGTTTCGCTAGGAGCAAATTTTGTTGAATTTTCTATTGGATTTGGCGATTCTATCTCCCACATAAACAAGCAATGACGTCATAGTGAAAAAGGGTAATTAATATAACTTTTAACTTGTTGTAAGGCATATAACACTATTATAGCCATTGTTTATATTAACATTTTTAAAATATAAAATACTTATTTAGTAAGCATTTTAGAAATATATATAGTCAATGTCATTAACGTTGTCCACCGAAAAAAGACATTTACACATTTACACATTTAGACACTTGGACACTTAGGCATTTACACATTTAGACTAAAAGAAATAACACATGTTTCATTATGTATTCTTTGCCTCGTATGCGTCAGCCTGAACTTTAAATGTAAAATTCAACTCAGAATGCCTGAAGATTTAGTGAGGATTTAAGATGGAGAATGGTATTTCAGCGTTTGTTTTATGCCAGAACGTTCGAGGAAACATATGATATTTCTTTTAGTCTAAATGTCTAAATGCGTAAATGTGTAAATGTCTTTTTTTCGGTGGACAACGTTAATGACATTCACTGTATGTATAACATGTGTTCATGATTTTAGGGATGTTGACAACTTCTAGATGTCTGGGTTTTTGGTTTTCATCATGCTTTAATAAGAAAGTCTGTTCTATAATTTAAAATTTAAGGGATAATTAAAGGTCTCAGAAACGAAACCTTGGAAACATAAAGTGCTATATATAATTTACAATATTTTTTATATTATGTCAACCCAATAATTGTTAAGTCATGCTAGCAGAAGAAAGAGAATAACTGTCTACTTTTTAATAGCCTTGTTGTTTAGTTTTTCAACTCCAGAGCCTCATTTTATTCAGTTTTTGGTGATTAATTTATTAGTTTATAAACTATTATCATGCATGCAAAACAAAAAACAAAACAAAAAACAAAAAATACAAAAAAACAAAAAAACGAAAAAATACAACAACAGACAAACAGTTCAAATATATTATTCATTTACTAAATGAATTAAAAGCAATTCATATAAAATTCTTTAAATGTAAAACAGTGTAAAAATAAGGGAATAATACAGTGCAGAGACCTAAATAAATGCAAGGGAAATTCGCCTAGTATTATGTATCATTTCTTTTCTTGGATCATTTAATAAAATCATCAACAATAATATTGTAGATCAGCATTTTGACCTTAGGATAAATTAGTATGTCTAATTATTTTCTATAAACACCTGGAAATACTTACTTACCATTGCTTAAGATCCCTTGAAAAAGTTATTGTTTTAACAATATGATATATTCTTGTTATCTCATTCAGTTTTTAAAGGTTCTGCGTCATCCAGCCATTCTTAAATATTATGGATCTTATGAGAATTCAGAGGTTGTCATGGTTACAGAGCCTGTTCAGCCGTTGGAGAATGTTCTGCATGAGTTAGATGTGGACGAGATTATAGCTGGGTTGTACAATATAGTACAAGCACTGGTTTTCTTACATGAAAAGGTGGGTTCAGATATGAATCATGTTTATTTTCACAACATAATGATAAAAAATTTTTCATTTACGTTACACAGTATTCATAAAAATGATCTATTGCATATATCAAATAGCGCAGCGCAGCCGTGACGTCATAAAAACGAAGACAAAAGCGAAATTCGGACAAAGAAACTTACAAGTTTACTTTCAGCAGATAATTTTCACAGCCGATCGCAGTTGATCTTAGTTTACATGGGTTATTATTGTAACTTTAAGTAAAAATAATAAAATCGGTTCGTATAATCCTCGTAGCGGTTAAACAGAATTCAATGTTTGTCCGAATCTTTAAGCTATTTTTAGAATCAGTGCACTGCGCTATTAATATGTGAATATTATTATATGATATTATGATAAAATATAAAATAAAAGCAAAATTCAAACAAATTCATTAAAATTTGATATTGACTTAAGATATAACAACAAAATAATGATTAATAACTTACTAGTCAGAGAGTTAACCAAGCCAAAAAATTTGTCTTTAACATTTAAATAATATTATTGTGATAGTCGTAATTTGCCGCAGCAATTTTTTTTGGAAGGTAGCACTTAACAACCAGTGGCTAACATTTAACCTGTGGTCCTTGTTCTGTGACGCCAAACAAAAAAATTAGCGTGTTTCCTGTTGCATGAGAAAAATAATTAGGGTCGGTAGATTGGATTTTTATTTTTTTATTTTTACTGATATGACAGTGGAAATTAGCTTACTGGGAACCCTTTGGTGCATTTGGGGAATGAAAAAAATATTAGGGTCAGCAAAAATCGCCAAGAAAATTAGGATCAGTCGTGCAACAGGAAACACACTTATTTTTTTGTTTGGCCTGATCACCATGGAATTTAAAATTTGGATTTTTGTGGAGAGAGGAAAACCGGAGAACCTGGACAAAAACCTTCAAAGCACAGAAGAGAACCAATAAACAACTCTACTCAGAGCAACCAAATGACAAATATGCCCTAGATTTTTTAAATGAGATTAAGTTTGTTTATGCTTGTAGGGAGACCTTTCTCATAATAATGTCAGTCTGTCGTCGATCTATGTCAGTGATAATGATGGCAGCTGGAAACTCGGAGGAATGCAATGTGTTTGCAAGTCAGAGCTTGTCACTAAACAGGTTAGTGAGTCTCACATGGCAAAGTACTTTTATCTAGTTTTATAACGAACAGCTGGAATAAATTAAAGTAGGTCTAGTCACTGTTTTTTCTATTTCATTGATGTGCCTTCTTGTGTGCAATTATCCATGACATGTGGTCTGGAATGGGAGAAAATGAATCATGACTGCTACTGTTTTTACAATAGGATGTTTGCATGATGGAGTCATCTGACTCCCACTACCATCATGCTTAGCGAATTTTCTCTCTTATTCTTATTTGTACATGTATTTCCTCATGAGAATAGTAATTAGACTATTGGTGCTAATTAACTGAACAAAAGAAGGTGTGCAAGGAAGTCTGGTAGCAGAGGTCAATGACACAAGAGAGTCAGGTAGTAGAGGTCAATGACACAAGGGAGTCAGGTAG